GACCAGAAGACAACCTAGCACAGCATTAAAGCCTACTGTAGTGCTCACGGCAGGACTCAGGCTATTTTTTCTAGTAGAGTAAGTGTCAGAGCATCTGGCCTCAAAGAAAGATACCTTTTACTTAACCTTACCTAGTGGCAGAGCGAAACCAACGCTTTCTGACTAGAAACCTTAGGGATGTTTCTTCTCTTCTTGAATGTGCTTCTCCAAGAATGACCTCGCTCCTGTTCCCTTTCATCATTCAAGAAACAGCAAATAACAAACTTCCACCCAGTTGCTACAGCGAGTATTTGGGCAGCTCTGGCTGGCAGAACTTGTGTATCAAACACCTTGAAATATGAATGTGGCAATGCATTTTTTTTTTTCCAGGTCTTCCTGGTTTACATTCAGGTAGCCTACACTTGGTGACAAGGATATAATTCATTTGCTTAGAACTACACTTCCAAGCTCTTGCTAACCTTGCAAAATTTGCTTCTCAATCTGTTCCTCAGGGAGCCAACACTATGGACATTCATGAACTGTTATTGCATCCTCCTTTGCCCTAAGGCCACCAAGCTGGTCACTCTTACTCCCACTCTAGGAAGTACCTTGATATGTGAGGATAGCTTACTGCTTTGCTGGACATCAAACTCTGCAAAAAACCACTGAGCTAAACTCAGTTAAACTCTCAGCTAAAACGTTAAACGTTCAGTCCCTAAGCGATACCCATTACATGCAGACAAGACTCAAAGAAATACCTTGTGTATCTGCAAAGCAGAAGGAAAGAACCCCCTTAGACACGGCTAACAACCATGCTTTATGCAGAACGCCTGGGGGCTACTAGTTTTATAACTTCCATCCATAAAGGAAGAAGCCAGAAGCTTTTGGAAAGAGAACACAATTACCCTACAATTATATAACGGAATAAATTCAACACAATCCATGTAAGCAAAAGGAAAAAAATCACCCAAGCTTTCTTTCACAGTTGGCAGTGGATAATAATTAACAACCACCCTGTCTGTAGTCAACCTTTGGAAATAATCTCCAGAGCCATGTGCAAGCTGACAACCATGCACAGCACCTAACTAGTTTTTGTGTCTAGTTGTACAAAAGTGGAGACATACAGAAATGAACAGCCTGGAACAAGCGAACTCTGAAGCAATGTCTTCGATAAATAAATGCCTGCACATTGGCAGACGGAGAAAAGCACAGTAGGGAGGAACTATATTGCAGTAGCAACTTAATTGGAAATGATTCACAAAAATCATCCTGAACTGTGGAATCAAGCATTTCCAATTTCTTCCGTCCTGTCCTCACTGGGGAAAATCCTTGCCATAAGAAAGTGGGAAGGTGATGGCAGAAAGACAGATCTAATGAAAGATATATCACACGCTTTTTCAGGCAGCAGAGAAAGGAGGTCACTGGACGTTTTTGCCGCCTATTACATTGCTAAACACATTTTTGGTAACCTTCAGAAAGACACAACAATCCATTTCCTAGGAAAGCCTAGGAAAGCGAGATGTGGGGAGCCACTCTCAAGCTATAATAGCCCAAGAACGAGCCTGAAACGTGAGTGCAGTCGCACAGGTACATGGGATACATGGACCTTTCCCTCCGTCATACTGCGGAAAGTTGCATTTGGTGCAACAGCCACCTTCCACGTTGATTCCTCTGGAAACCTGACTATTTGCAGGCCAAGTGGCTCTTTCCTATTTGCATGCTGATTCCTAGTCCCTGTTAAACGTGATAGATGAGTGGAAAACAAGCACTACCTCCCCCCTGCTGCTAGGCTCCAACTAGCACGTTATTCCTCTTTTGGGGATACGAGGATTCCTTGCCTTGTGATCACAAAGATGATTTTCTCTATCACTTCTGAAGCATTTTCCGCTAACCTCAATTAGCGCTGTAGTCTGAGAGCTTAGCAAGAGAAGAAGTATTCCTGCATCCTATCAGGACACACAATGCAACGCAGATAACTCTGTGCAACATTCACATTATTCTTACACGTTACCTAGCGTGCACAGCATCACGTGTCCCTACCTCACTCCCCTCCTCAGGGATAGCCTCGTAGATAGTAATTAAGATAAATTACACCTATGCATAAAAATACATGATGCGAAAGAGTTTCAACACTCAGCTGTTACTCAAGGTCTCCAAAAGCAAGAAGAAAATAAAGGGCCAGTTCCTGAGACAAGGGAACGTTTCAGCTCTTTGGAGTTTACTCCTGCGACGGCTTTACAACCTGCTAGCGTGGTATGCAAGTAGCCGGTACTTGTGGTGACCTTTTCAACTAAAACAAGCCATCCCCCTCCTACCATTGATATGCATGTAAAAGCAGCAAAATGGAGACCGCCCTGCGACTATGTATTGATTCTCTTCATGCCCAGTACTGATCGCTGCAGTAGAAATAACAGAAGGAAAAGAGCCACACGTTGAGAAACTGAGGCGAGACCAGTCCCGATGAACTGTGATGGCCCTGAGCTAATTGGTCAGCCCTATGTACCAAGTACCGTACTTCTTCGAGAAAACACTCGCTCCCTGCTGTTCTCTTCGGGAGTAGCCAAGTGGACGAGGTGCAGGCTGCAACGTGAGGCCAAGGCAAAATTAACCTCTCAGTTATCGTCATACAGAGGAAGATGAATTTAATTAAACTTCGCTACATCCCCTCAATAATAGGCTACCTTTTGTGACAAAGAACCTCCCCTTTGCTCCCTGGCAGTTCATCAGTTAACAGTACACATCTGATTTCACTTCTTTGCACTGCTTGGTTGCTCGACACCTCAGAACTCAAATATCTATAATGCCTCATCTCCTCTTCCCAAGGAACCCACATCATACAGCGATCAAGAAAAGCAGCAGGCAGTGATTTTCAAATGAGCCTACCTAAATCCAGTCCCCACGTTATGCTGAAACCATTTACAACGGCAATCCATTTCAAACCAGTTGTATTTCGATAAGAATCGCCATGGGAAGACCATGACCTGCCTTCTGCAGACTCTCCCACGGATCTGCCAGTTCTGCAAGACTTCACCATGGATCAGGGCTATTCTGCTTTGATAAATTAGTTGCCTACGTGAAGTCCAGAGCAATAGCAAGTACAGCTGTTAGCCCAGCGAGTCCACGGCTGTGTGCTTTCCGAACAGATACGAGTATGTATGCCCAAACTGAAAATGAAGGTGGATTATCTTTACATGGAGGGCACTATGTAAGTGTTCTGAAATACATAATAGCAGCCACTTTCAATCAACAGAGCAGAGAACAGATGGGAAGGAGGTTGTGCCGAGAGAAAGGATGCAAAGAGGAACATGTATTTTCTCCCCACCTTCCTTGTTCTGATAACAGTTCTAGATATATTCATGCAAATCTCCAGATTCAAGCAATCCCCACCCATGTAATTCCAGTACACTGCGTAACTCTGGCTGCTTCCCCACCACGGCACGGCAAAATCACAGATACTACTACATCTGCAAAATGTTGCGAGATCAGAAGGTGGATTTGCAGTTTTTCACCCCTTTTAGTTTATTTCAGTATATGTCTTTTCTCCTACATTATTCCACTCCTCCCCCCACTAAAACTCTGATAGGTTTAAATGTTAACCCCAGAACATTTCTTTGGATTAACCCTCTGTCAAGCACTAGGGTAATTCCAGCTCCTGTTATCTTCAGGCAGGTTTGACAACAGATGTCATGCTGGATAAAAAGGCCTATCAATGATAAACCTCAAACGCCTCCTCCTCTTGAACAGAAACTCAAAGCTAGCCAAATTTGTTTTTCACCTTTTGTAAGAAAATATTTCTTATCTAAGTTTTTAAACAAGAAATGGAATAAATGAAACATTCATAAGAAATGAATGTTTACTCGCTGACTGTCATTTTGTCCAGGAAAACAACTGCTCCATCTCCAGCTTTCTCTCGTGTTAGAAGTTTAATGTTAAAACTTGAATTAACAAACGTTAACAAATGTTAACAAAGAAACGTTAAGAAATGTTGTAACAAATTCACTTAATGCTGCAGATTTAAATATAAGAGGGCACACGTTTGTGGGTGATGTACATTTTAACCAAAACAATTTAAAAATATTAATAACTTCTGAATAGCTCCCAGCAAAAAGTGGGTTCCAGATTCTCATTCACAGTAACATCATTGTACACCACTGTGGTGGCACAAAACAGCCTTTAAAACGGATATAAGCGATGGCCCTCTGCATTCCCAGATCCTGTCACTGTTTGTGGCTTGTTATCAGTAACGTGCTGTAAGTACAGTACCCAAAACCTAAATGTTGAGTGTAACAAATACATACATAAAAAGCTCTGTGCACTAGGGCTGGATTTGTGACCTATACAGTTGTTCCATCTCAGCTGAAGTGCAGTCCGTATCTGAACTATACCACCTTAACTCTTGCTCCTGAAAATCTCCAGAAAGGCAGAGAGCATTACACCACGGTAAGCAAAGCAGGATCTAGTCCTTGAGATTATACATCCCGCAGAGACAGGCAATATTACCCTCCAGCCTCGACTGTTGTGATAGGTCTTAAACACAGCAGAACCGGGACGGTTCCCACAGGAGTGACATGAAGTAAGTATTCATCTTCTCAGCAATACGTGGGCAGTCAATTGATGGCGTATCAGAATTGAACTGGCAATACAGATTCAGAAAGGCTGAAAACCACAGTCAAATCAAACTGGTATCTACCAACTCTGGGCTGAAGAGCGAGCAATGGGAGAGGCTGAAAAATCATTCCGTGCTCAGCCTCAGATGTGACAGAGAGGGCTGCTTCTTCTACTCTTTTTCTCAAAGAACTCATATTAACACTGAGATGGGAAGACAGCCAGGAAGAAAACTTTGATTCACATACTACCAAGTAATCTACAATAGTCTTGACAGCCAAAACAGTACATATTTCAAAGCTACCCAATGTCCTCAGGAAAAGTAGAAAAGGAAGCAACCATTTTTTCCCCATCTCTTGTTTGCATGGCGTTTCATTTGGTTATTTATGAAAACGAGAATAGTATGAACTACTTACCTTGGCTATTTGGACGCACCAGTTTAGCAGAAGTTGGGAGCCAATATTATCCTTATGTTCATGAACATAATCCAACAAGCAGCCATGAGGCATCAGCTGAGTGACTAGCTGAATGGTTGGGCTTAAGCAGACACCCAGAAGTCTCACCAGGTGTGGGTGGTCCATGCTGGCCATGATAAGAGCTTCCTGTAACAACAGAAGGGATCCAGTTACTCCACTGCGTTTCAAGGCTCTCTGCGTAAATTTCCCATTCCCCTCAAAGCATCGAAAGGGGATCAACGCCCCTGAGGTACCACACGTTTCCATGTTGTCGAGCCAGCATTAGACATTCCTAGGCAAAATCCGGTTGGATGTAATGTATGTTATATGGTCCTAAACAATGGGTCAGAGTATCTGCATAGCTCCACTGAAGACTCTGATCAGGAGTTTGGCATTGCCTTATATTCCGCTTTTTGTTACAGTCACAGAACTGAAAATGTAAATGTGACACAGTTAACTGTACTTAAAGGTGTAACTCTTCCTCGTTTGTTTTACTTCCCTGAATTCAGTTTCTTGAATTTATTTTCTCAGTTTGTGGTCAATCCATAAGGCATTAGCTAACAGTTTTTCACGTACACAAACTGTGCCACTCATATACAGTTCTGTGCCCAGGTAGGCCTAATTCTGCAAGAGATTTGATTAGGCTGTGCTGAAGTGCTTTACTGGATCAGGGACTTAATGGTTAGTATTTTACAGGCTTGAGCATTTAATGTTTCTGAGTTACAAGATAACGTTAATAGAAAACTTCCCAAAACAGAGTTCAACCTGCAAAGGGTTAAGAATCAGGAGGTTTAGTGTGGGGTTTTCAAATGTGTCCAACACTCAAGTCCTACCAAAAGCCAGCCAATTTCTTCTTTTAACTCATTAGGATATGACCATGCTACAGTGTCTATGACTACTGTACAGTAATAATCCAAACTAGTAGTCCTGACGGTACAGTAGCAGCCTCGCAGGGCAGCGTTTCTACTTAACACCTGATGTTGCCACAAGTAGAGCACTACATGAAATTACCAGCTTTAGAAGTCGGACTCTAGCTCAGCTCCTGGTTCTTCCGAAGTCCTCTCCCAAGTGCTCTTGGGTGAACCACTTCATTTTTCCAAGTGTCAACTTCCCCCTCATTGCACAAGAGATAATAATCCTCCCTCCATACTTTAGCTACCCTTTCCAGATTGCAAGCTTTCAGAGGTTTTCAAGCTGGCTGGTTGTCCAATACCAAGCACTAGAAGGACTTAATCTTGGCTAAGGTATTCTAGGACTAAAGTCCTATCTTACAGATCTCCCACTGGTTGCAAGATATGCAGCTGTGGTTCCAGCATATAAGGAACCACAAGAGCTCCTTATAAAAACCTTACAAATTTGTTCCCACAGGTAGAGCTGCCATCATGAGCAACTGGCTTTCAAAAAATGCAAGGAGAAAGCTCTTCTCTCTCATTCACTTGAGCCGAGTCCCCAGTTTCAATAAAGATCACTTCCTCATGTCAATGAACAATGAAAAGTGAGGGGAAACTCAAGCTATTTTGGCTCTCTACCCTTCTCCAAGAAACCTATACAACATCTTCCTGACAACTGAAAGAATAATAGCTATAGTAATGCCACAGAAAGAAAGGAAGGAGGAAAAAAAAAACGAGATGAGAAATTTGGCATCAGAGGAACATAGCATCTCCCCTTTCCCCTCCCTCCTTGACTCATAAAAGTATTTTTTCTCCCCCTATATTAACGGAAAAAAAAGTCCTGGCAAGTAGGCTGAGTTTGTATTAAAGGAAATTGCTCATCACAGTACAAAGAATATTTGAAACTAAATTGCAGAGCATTTGCATAATAGTTCTCTCTCTTTCTTTCCCTTTTCTTCGTTACGATGAAAAGATGTACAAGACTCTAATTGTAGGGTTCCCCCCCCAGCTAGAGAAGAGCAGATGGCCTCCACTGGGGGAGGGGGGAGAGAGCGCCTTCCTTTTTCTTCCCGAATGTATGGGAAGAAATAAAATAACGAAATAAACGAACCAATAAGGGCTATTTGATGGGATGACTGGAGGAGGAGCTCTGAGGAAGATTCCAGTGTAACAAGTGAGAGAGGGGATCCTCGTTAGAGCAGGTCTGTTCCTGTTCAAATTAATATAGTTCTCTCTTACTCAAGTATGTATGGGGTCTCCCTCAAGCAATTTTAGCCTCTTTTCTACTGTCACTAGAAAATGTCACTGAAGGCCACCAGAATAAATACATGTTGACAGGTGCATTATCCAGTTTCAAAGAACAAAATTACTCTGCCTCATTTTTTTTTTCTTTTTGCTTTTTACCCATTCATTTTTCTCCCGCAGATGCACTGGGGACAGTATTTGTTGCCCTCCCCTCTCTCAGAGTAAAGTTAAGAGTTACTCCGGGAACTCAAAGAGGGACTACTTTTCTTGATAACGAGGACTGATTAGAACACCAGCAATATACTCTTTTTGCTCACCAAGGGCCCAAAGCTTTGAAGCATGTGCTCCATTAGTCTCCAGCTACATGCCATTTACAAGTCTATTTGAGTCGAGAGGAAAGACACTTCTGTACAAGAGTAAAAGCAAGCAGTGTCTTTTGCTGCATTCTGATAGTACGGGAAAGTATATAGTCTTCTGCTAGCTCTGAGCAATGGTTCTGGAAAATAAATATTTTTAATAAAATATTATGGTCTGTTCTGTAATGAATCAAGACACATAATGTAACAAAAAAGCAAGAACATTTTCATTATAGGCCTAAGATCATAACGGATATTAATTTAGCATGGATCCTGGCTTCACATAGCTGTTCTCATTAGTAAAATTATTGTTATTTTTATAGCACTAGCATCTACAGGAGAACTAAATTTAGGGTTATGTGCATCCAGCACAGCACAAACACAAAGTAAAAGAAATTGTAATTGTTCTGCTAGAACCTAATTAGACAAAACAGGCAAACAACAGCAACAGAAACATTACGACTTGGAAACATTTTTAAAATCTACTCAGCAACTAAGGAACGCAGTCCTCGCTTTAAAATCAGTTCGGACGCCAAAGATCCTAAAGCCACAGTTTCCATGGTATTTAGGCACTCTGCAGCCTGCTTCCCAATTACGTTTTCTGAAACACCTTATCAGGTAAGGCACCTAACTCGTGGACACCGGCGAAAACCTGCAGCGTTGAAAACCTGCCTCTGCAATTTCCCTTATCTTTCGGTAGCCTTATATCCACAGATCTTGTCTCTAAACTTAATTGGCAGCATTACAGCAATGATCTTGAAAATTGTACCTATCATCCCAATTTAATGGCAAGGAAACTGAGGAAGAGAAAAACACTACCTAGTATCCAGTCACACAGGCAGTCCAGAGTAGAGGTGGGAACTGGGCCCCAAATCACTTTCTCTCTCTCTCTCTCTCTCTCCCCTGAAAAAAAAATCCTTTGAAGGTTGAAATAAAAAGGGTTGGAGGGGAGAGATTAAGACACGATACAGCGTCTTTCTGCCAGGGGTCAGAACTTTTGTGACACCATGAGCTCATACTAGAGGCTGAGCAATGCCAGGAGCGTGGCAGTTTTGGAAGGGTCCTGCTGGACATCAAACACCCTCCTTCACCTACCTGCAGGAGCAGGGAGTCTTACCACAAGAGGAACTCCTCAGCCAAACCAAGTCTCTTCCCGGAGCCTGTTGACCTTGCTGTCGCTGCTCGGGTATTGATTATCACGGCAGTGCGCTGCAGCCAGGCACAGGGCAGCTATAAGCCAGCCGGCTCGGGCACAGGTAGCACTTGTGGTCCTTCCTCTCTTCTACCCCTTTTGAAGGCGTTTAGTTATTGCCAGCAGATACATTAAGCTCAGCTCCTGTGATCTATATGCACAACCCTCTGTTAAACAACTGCATCAATGCTATTTTAATGCCTTACTACAAATCCATCTCAGGCAGGATTCTCTGTTCAGCCTTCCCTGGCGAAGAAGTAAAAATAACCCTTAAGACTGAGAAGGAAGCGTTCCCACAGTGCTCGGAGGAACACACACAGCACATCTTATACGGTGATATTTAACGTCCCTCTTTGCTAATAAGAGGTGTTATTGTTAGCAATTACAATGGAGAACTGAGCGTAAATATTAGCCAGCACATCGATCCCTTAACAGAATACTCTGATACTGGCTTTGTTTCTCTGACCACCTGATTTGTAAACCAAGGCACGCAACAAGCTGCATGGGCCACTAACGGTAAAATGATGCCTTATCTACGGCCACATTGAAGATTTGTTCTCCATCCAGACTGACCCAGGACACCATTCTCCTCCAACACGTCTCCCGCCATAAACTGGTACGCCAGAGAGCACTTTAGCATCCCCAGCCAAACCGTTTGCGAGGGGCTAGAGATGACGTACAGGCAATTCCTGTGATCTCAGTGCGTCCTGCAACTGGGCAGAGCTGACAGCGAGCTAGCCCCCTGCCAAGTCCAAAACCACGTCCTGAAGGAAGTATGAACATACATACTCAGTCAAGAGACCTTCCCTCAGCTGCTTTTCCGGAGGGCTTAAGTCCTGTTAACAGGTTGTGCCATTAGAAGAGTCCTGTACTCCTTGGTGGAGCCCACCGCTTAACCACCTCATCTTCCTGTCCATAAAGATTCTCCTAACAACAAAATCACCACTTGACGTAGTATTTGCTGTTTCTTCGCATTACACGTAAATACCTTTCAGAGGGGAAAAGATATTCTTGCTGAAGGCCTATTCTTTCACTTATGAGCTTCCTGAGTGCCTGCGGCCATACAACATGGAGCGCTGGGACAAGCTCACTTACGGGTAGCCAGTGCCCTTTCCAGTGCCCCCTCGGAGCCCGCGCGGGACCGAGAGGCTGTTCCCCGTTCCTGACAGCGCTGCAGACCCCTGAGCCGAGGAGAGCTTCCACTGATCCAGCTAAGCCGGATGCACACAGGCACCTGATAAAGAGTTTGGCAAGAAGGGACACGGTCTGAAAAATCCCTGGTTTCCTACCCTTCTGCTTCTAACTGTTCGTGCCATAAAATACCCCAAATCAAACAAAACAGAAGAAAACAAAAAAAAAGACCCCATCTGCGATTTCTAATCATTACTGAGCAAACAAAAACACTTAACAGCTGACTTCTTACTATGCTGTGCATTTTTCTGCAAGCACAAACTGTGCTGTGGC